ATACCTACCTCACGTTTATTAATACTGTACTGTATAAGGCTAATCTGTGAGTTATATGTATACCAAATTAGAGCTAGGCACCTAATCACTTACTTGATATGTTTAAAAACATTACTTTAAATAATTCTCTGTTCTGAGTGTTTTTTCTCTTTTTTTCAAACAGATAAAACTCCATTTAAAGTATTCACTCCCAATTTTTCCAATGCCTGAAATATCAAAGTTATGGATTTCTTTGCAGGCTGAACCCTACGCTCGGAAATCACTCATTTATTTTTTCATTATTTATATCTCCCAGGTTTAAATAACTGAGACCATTGTTTTACTTACTAAAATACACACTCTTCCCTTGAAATATTCATTCCGAATTCAGTAGCAGATCATCGTATAATATACAAAATTGATCAATTCCTTAGACCTGTAGCTTTTTAAGCGCACCATGCAAAGTTAACTTTTTACAGTTATTGGCTTAATCTGTCTATTAGTTACTAACATACTTGTCTCCAACTTTCTAACCGTAACAGGTATTTCATTAACTTAGCCTAAACTAGAGCACCGTTACTAGCTAATGAAGGGTTCATATTCGCCGAAAGCTACGCCCGAAATAGCCGCTTTCCAATTTGCGGTCAACCCTAACTACATTGCCAATCAACCGAGTATACGGAACGTGTTATTGCTTCTTGCGCAGCGGTTACTCTTGCGTCACTGTCTTTGTTTATGTAGTTGCAGGAATGTCACCGTTACCGGTCACTGTTCCAATTTGCATTTCTGTTTGGAATGGATTCAACCGTACTAATCACTGTTGTTTATGGAGTCCAGGGGTGTTATTATGTCCAAGTTGCTGCCAGGTATCGGCTACTGTCTATTATGGAGTAACTTTTGTAACAGGTGTTTCTTAACCCTCCTTAGGCTGTTAGTTATGACATTTAGAATGTATCCTTGGATATTGTTTCATGTTTTGTTCGCGTGTGATTTAATTAGGATTTAATTGTACTGTTTAATTAACTGTTGCAGATCTTTTTTGCTGTTCTAGTTTTTCTTGGAAACAAGCACACTTGCATGTTCTTTGTGTGTAATTTCTATTCATTAAGTTGTTGATCTACTTCAAATGCAATTTGGACCATGCAAACTAATTTGTTTCGACTTACCAAAAAGAGTCTTTTATTCAACAAATAATACGCTTAAACTAACATGTTGTAATTTAAGTAATTTGTAATAAAAGTTTAAACAATTCACAGCGCATTTTACCAATTCGGATTTTTATTGGCAAAATGCAAGAGAAATATCTTATGCATTAAACTTTTGACTAAACCCTTTTCTTGTCACCCTTTATGTATAGATAATATTTATCTACATATAAGTGAACAATGTAAACAGCTTAGTAACTCATTTTCACTCTTTAAATGCTACTGTTAATATTGGAATGTTTTACATGTATTTAGTTTGAGACCCAAACTTAAATTGTATAAATTATAAAATTCTACTACTGAACTGTTACATGTAGAAATTCAGCATACGTTTCCCAATTATTCTCGGTATTAATCCCCAACAAGCTCAGCAACCAGGAAATTTTTACTTCATAAATATAGTAGGACATATGAAATTAATTTATCTTACAATCATAATTAAATCAAGCAGCCAATTGTTTATTTATTTTACAACATACAGAATATTCTTTACAAATTCAACTAAGGCTGCCAACAACAATAACAACGACAGCAGGGAGTCCAAGTTGTCTCATGTTTTGACTTTTCCACCCCATTGAGATATTTCATCCCCTCAAAGACTGGCGTCAAAATTCCTGCAGGGGAAACAGGATACGACCCCCTGCGTCGGCGCTTCAACCCCAGAAATATTTCCCACATATTTGTAGGGCTGTCTGAAACACAGCTGGGGAAATTAAACCCGTCGACGTGTTGCGATTTTTGCTGCAAAGAATTCTAAATAAATTAAAACCCATGTTGTGAAATAAAAAAAAAATCTCAAGCTTAATACTAAGAGATACCAAATAATAGCGAACGCAATACATCTGTAATAATATAATATATCTGTAGTGTGGCCGAGAGATGTTTTTTTTTTTTTTTTTTTTTTTTGCAACTTGACCCTGTTTTGAGAAACACAGACTAGGTTTTCACTGTATCAAATAGTTAGAAAATTCAAAAAGGAGATTTCGTTTTTACACCTGATTCTATCGTCTTGTTTCTTAAAGACTGTTTGTAACAGTTTGTTTGATACTGCCATTTTTGTCCCACTAAAATCTATGCTAGCTTGGAAATAAATCAAAGGCTTATAATGCACGTGCATAGGAGGTAATACTACTTAGTTTCGTAGCTGATTTGGATCATGAAAAACCATTATTGATAAGGATAAGCTTCTAAATTAACTAATTAAACCAAACGCTTGTTATTCTGTAGGTGAGTCTTTGCATGGAAACCATTCAGATGTAAACAGTAAAAAAAAAACGCTAATTGCTACTAAAAATGTCAAACACTTTTAAAATTTAACTCCAGGAAGCCTCTAAAAAGCACATCTTCCAATCACCCGCCATTTCAGCGGACAATAATAGGAGTGATCGCACGAGTTGGAGATTATCGATTAGTCTTGGTTATCGCGATATCGTTCGGTCGTGAAATCGATTAATCGATTGTTGACCCTGGGTTCGCTGTCTGGACCTATCTCGAGATGTTTTTGTCTCCTTGTTTTTGGTTGTTTCTTCTTTCTCTCTCCCGAGCTTGATTGAAATTCTGATTAGACTCTTTGCTTGAAGATTGCTGTGCTGTTCTTTTGATTACACTGTTTATTTTTTTATATAATACTATCTCTTGTTTTGTTATCAACTTTTAACAGTTTATAAATGTGTAACTATAGGTTTAGGTGTTGGAGGAAAAATCGAACTATTTTATATCAAGATAACAATTTCAAAGCTTGCAAGGTAGCAGACTGCTACCAACCCCGCGCCGCGCCGGACTAAATCAGTATTATTATGTTACCACTGTGATAAATGTTTGTATATTCCTACTTTAAATGTTTTTTTTTATGATCGTGTCGTTCTTGCTTTAATTGTGTTGTTGAGAAGATACGAGCTTTGAAAATGTTGTCTTCGCCACGAAACATTGCTGATGAGCAATAATCGTTGGACTACTTTCATGTAAAATCAATTATTTCCTTAACAATATAGTCCAGGGCCAAAAACATAAATTGTGATTCCAATATTTTCGCTAAACTAATAAGTTGCAGAATTTCATGAAATAACTTACAGCGAATTAGTACTTTCCATTATACAGAGGGGTGCAAGAGTAAATATTTAGTTGCAGTTGGTAGAAAATTAATTACTACTTTTTTATTCCTTACATTTAAAAACATTGTTAGTAAGTTGTAATTACAATTAGTTTCATTACGGTGCTTTTAATTTCCACACGTTTTACTTTTATTTGTCATCCAATAATGATCCATTATTTTAGAAACACAATTTTATGGGTAGTGAAATGGTCATAGCACTCACTATGTCACATAGTATGTCCTGATATTTGTTGGTTCTATTCCTAGAGAAGTTTCTCCTGGATTCGATGTAATTTGTAATTAAATATAATTATAAATAAGATCAAATAAGATTATAACTGTTCGAGTTGTTTAAAAAGGATAGTAGTTCAACATACGTGAAAATATTAACACCAAATCGATTATGTTATCTTACAAAATTTCCGTTAGAACAACGTAAAAATTGAATGAACCAAATAAAACTTAATTTTACTGACTATTTATCTACTTTTTAACTAATTCTACGCCCTTACCCAATGAACATCGATGTGAAAATAGCGCAGTAGATTCAGATAGAGAATAAATCCTCTGGATTACCACTTCGGTGACAAATTACAAAACTGTTCACTTTTTACTGCGAACAAGAGCGTTCAAACTGTCGTTTAACTTGCAAAAATATTTCTCTCCCCCCTGCAGGTCCCTGGACTCACTGCTGGCTTTTTCAGCCGACTTTGACGTATTTATGTAAATTCTCCCGGGTTTTGCGAGTAAATTGTAGTAGGTCCCTAAAGAACGGGGGGAAATATGAACAATATTTCTTCTCTAGTCAACACATTGTATCTGGTACAATACTGGAATACGAAGTGGTAGCCAATGCTATACCTATAACCTTTGACTATTGATACAACAAGACTTTCCATCCCCATTTGGCTAGCGCACATGTCGATTATTTGATCGCCTGTGTGCGCGCCTCCATTCTAATACATGATGCACGGATTGGCCGATGAAATAATTGCCTCAAAATAATCGGTCGTGTGCGCCTAGCCTAGGTTGTCGCGAGTTTATCAAAATGTGAACTACCGACAGTTTGTGCTGATCTAAATTACTAATTTATATCGAGTACTCGAACTTTTGTTACCAGTCAAAATATTGGAAAAACCTATTGTGAGCTAAGCAACAGTTAAGACTGCGTCAACAAAAAATAAGGTAGAAAATAGAATTTTAAATAATAGCGCAGTCTCTGACTGGCTCAATCGTCTATGTTCTTTTTTGATAAAAAAAATGCGACAGCTGGTCCATACATATGGGATTTCTACTTCATCCAATAGTCAATGTAATAACCTATAAGTAAGGTGTATTTTTATATCAATGAATAAACCTAAGCTTGCAAATCTGTTTGTATTATACTATTTTGTGTTATGATAAAAATTAACTAACTTTTACCATAAATACCCTACCGCAAAGAATACATTCCGTACACATTTTCAAGTTTTTAAACATCTTACAATAAGGGAAACCTCTAGCCTAACTGAGCCACCGATGGCGTTCTTATTTAAAATACCATCTCATTTCGTGTTCAACTGTTTAATGACACAAAACTAAAGGAAATGTACATCTATTCAATTTATTTACTTATTTTACACATATATATTTTAATGTTGTTGACCTTTACTTGCTAGTATAATTCCACACAAGGACTGTGATTTATTTATTTCAAGTGTACTTACCTAATATTTCTTTTGCAGGTAACCGCCTAGATGGAGGCCACGATGGAGGAAGTCATTAATGAGTTCTATAAGGTAGGAATCGTGGAATATACAAGTAGCAATACATTTTAGCTAAAAATTGCTGTGTAATAAAAAGAAAGTTGATGAGAATTATTTTCATAACATAAATTAGAGTAATTTAAGCAATACTTATCTAATGATCCTTACTTTTATAAATCTCCTGTGATCAGTGTTTAAATCAGTGTTTTCAAAAAGTAAAATAAACACAGGAAATTGTGCACTATAGTACTATAAAACCTTAGAAATCCGATCTTGAACACGCATCAAAACCGCTTCAGATTTCACAATAGATCGAGAGGTATATTTTCAGGGTCCAAAAGTAAAAAGTAAATTACACTACTGAATAAGATGCGATGAAAAAATTTAAAACAATTAATTCGTTTCTATAGTATACAACCAACTGTCCTGTTTACTTAAAAAAATAAATACTATATCAATTTGTATATATATTTTATCGTGTGGTATTATGTTTTTTTTTTTTTTTTTTTTTTTACTTTCCTTAATTTGGAGTAGAAACTAAAACTCATTTTACTCAAATGTGTAAATAATTGGTGATTGACCAATAAACTAAAGAGTTCAATACCTTGTTTCATATATGCCTAGCATTACCAATTTGTTTAAAATATTTTAAGGGGTTTCTAACCAAAATATCAATGCAATATTGACAGAAGATGAATATAAAGATTTAATTTTGGTTTTATGATTTCTTAGTGATGTGTTGGATCTAAACTATAGCAATATGTGTGAGGGGAGCCTAACCAATCGTTTATGATGACAAAAAGTAAATAGAAATGAACAGTTCAAATCTAGTAAAAACCTCAAAAGCGTGCACAATATAATCACGATCGCCTTAATCGAGTAGGTAAAATAACATACATAGCTAAAATAACGCCTACTACATATGGTAAAATGGTTTTAAAAAATGGTAGGACTCAAAAATTAAATCCCTATTGAATGTCTCTAACCTAAATCTACTGCTAATAAAACCAAATCTAATCAAAAATTAAAAAGTTGAATATTTTCACACGGGGTACACAAATTTGGGAAGATATAATTAAATGCAAATGAATCAGATAAAATCAACCTTGATCAAACACGGTTTCACTTCCTTTAATTAATTTTTCAATCAAAGTGTTTTTCCTGTTGAACTCCGGAACCTAATTAACTAATCATTGATGCAAAGGGGTTCAGTTTGCTCTTTAAATATAATCTCGCTGGTGTTTTGGATGATCTTGTAACTTAATAAAGATGTTTTAGAATAACCACGCACATACTACATTACCACCAAATTCCTAAATACCATGAAAATGCGGGGTTTAGTGTGTTATGACTGATCCCATTTATGTAATGTACCGTTCATTAAACATTTTCATGGTTAAACTGTTAAAGATCGCTGTCCGAAGGTCGCCGGTATGATCAGGAGAAAAGTCATGAGCTTTTTGATGGTTCGAAACTGGTCCCAGCTACTCTTTAGCATAAGGCTTTTTAATAAAAATGGTCTTGACTAATAAATAATAGAAACAGCTAATACGTAGTAAGGAATCCACACAAACGATCTCACTCCATTATACACCAACCCTGAATTTGTATTCAGCTTATAATAAGCACCCAGGTGTGCTTCGCTAACTTAAAATATGAATGAATAACCTAAAAATGTTCCTCAAACACACCATCTAAACTAAATCGTGTAATCTGATTGAAGCTTCTTTTTTTGGGTTTAACTTCAGTTCAAAATATCTGGTAACAATGGTTTTTCTGACTCATCGGGAAACAGTTGGTCCTAACCTGATTGATTAAGTTACATCTACACTTTCCCTTTTGGGACATGGTAAACCTTTTACTGAACTGGTTTTGTTTTAACGGAAGTTTACCAAATAGTTCATACGTCCAATGTGTCAACCTTTTAACGTCTAGTTCTATGAAGAAACAATAAATGTAACTGTTTCCATTTGTCGGATTATATTTTCACAAAAATATCTTTTTGTAAACGATAGATTTATTTACTATTTGAATAATATATTTTCGCTAAAATATCTTTTGGAAATGTAAGATTTATTCCCTAATTAAATAACATTAGTTGAACGATAACATAGGTTTGCTGCTACTGGGAAGGTAATAGAGTGTTCTTTCTAGTGAAACTTTAATAGTTCAATATAAAATTAATACATTTTCAAAATCATAAAAAAGTGTCAGGTGATTTTAATGTCTGCACCTTGCAATTACCTGACATCTTGAGTGCTGATGACGGTTCAGAAGAACCGAAACTAGTTGCTAAAACATCAACAATTGATTACTACATGCAAGTATCGTGAACCATTTTAAGTAAGATTTTTACTTACACTATACGAGAAGAAGTAAAATATGAACCCTTTGAGTGATATATTTTAAAATTCAAAAAAAAGATTTATTTGTCTTGTATGTCAGATAAGTAATAAATTGGCATGAAAATTTTGTAACAAGAAAAATCACAAACAATGTTTAAATTACAATATTCAAGGGATTATTGATTTTAACCAATAAGTTTTAAAACTAAAAATAAGTACTTTATTGAATGTTGTCCCAAGCCAAAAACCAATCAAAGTAGGCCTATTATACGAGTAAATTACACACCATAAAAGATTACTTCGATAATGATAAACAAAAATGGGTTTAAAAAAATAGGTAAATAGAAATATTCCTACCAATACGTAAGACAATCCATAAAACAGGTTCAAATAGAAGCAAGAACTTGTTCAATATCTCCACATGATCAGTAATGTCTAGACGTGCAACAGCAATAACACTTCACAGAGTCAGTTCAACACTGAGAACTGCTCTGAAGTGATTTGAGCTGCGTAACTTTACCAATAACACGGATCTGTAGTGACACACGGCTTGTACGTGACGTCATTTTGTGACGTGATGAACGCATATGTTCCCTATAGGTAATTACGTTAATAATTAAATTTCGGTCGTGTGTATCAGTCAATTAATGTCTACTGTTGATTTGTTGATGGCTGATAGGTATTTTGTCACAATAATACGAATAAAACTAACTAAGACTGTTATCTCGTGGTGCCATTATTTTTTATGGTTAAAGTAACACTCAAATGGCGTTAACAATACTTTGGTTCCCTTTAGTTTTTGAGTTATAAATAATTTAAGTTTTAGCACTACTGACGGTGAAACTATATAAATCGATGTCGTGGGTTCGAGTCTCGGTTCCACCCATAATATTTATTACTACTGTCCATCCTTGTACTGTTGGTTCTGCACTCTTGCTTTGACGTTAAACCGCACAAGCCCGAGGTTAAAAGATGAAATCCCTTTATGAGACATCATAAACAATCAGTTACCCGACCAAATTGATCCTAAACGTGTTGAAGAAAATTGCTGCATAAAACTCTAATCGTTCTCTAATAAGTAAAGCGTAAAAACCTGTCTTGCCCCAGAAAATAACGGTAGTTATTAAGGTTGTTACATAACACCAGGCTGCAAGGTGCAGACATTGTAATGGAGTAATAACGCCACGTCGTTGACGGTGATTTGATGCAAATCACTTTGCTTATTACTACCATTAGAATTAATCAGGGCGGAACCTGCGTTTAAGAAGTGGTATACAAGGACGAGGGGTAAAAATAGTATCAAATGGTAAGGTAATGGGGGGGGGGCAGATTGCTCTGATTTTGCCATCGGATAAATCTCCATATGTCATTGAATGTGGCTGAATTTCTATTAACATCAACTTTGAATATTTCAAATAAATGAATCGGTAAAGTACGGAGCTTGATCTGGAGTGTTGCATTTTGGTTACGTTTTAAAGCTCCAATAATATATAAAGTGTTTCTTATGTTAGGGTTTAATTTACAGCCTATGCTTTAAGATATAATTTGGTATACAAATACTAATTTATGAATGGATTTTGAAAAAAAAACTAATATAACCTGAAACCATTGACTTTAAAAACACTACTGAGTAGACCTTTTAAGAACTATATATCTCATTACAATGTTAAAAGTGTGGCAATCCAACTTTAGTACGTCATATACACCAATAAATCAACTTTTTCAACCGAAAATACGACTAATTATATACTTTATACCCTTTTTGTGTCATAGTAACTGTAATGGCAACAAAATAGGAGATAGATCTATAGGGATTGAAAGTAAACCTTTTTCAATAGTCAATTACTGAATTTGACCAAATATATACATAATTTGCATTTACTGCGGTGTTTTAGATTGGACAAAACAGCTGTGAATCTCACTTTGTAAAACCGTATACAAATAACCAAGAGGAAAAGCGTCTCTAACACAATTAATGTGGAAACCCTGACACTTTCATAATAAGCTGTAGGAAGAAGCGTCTAAACAATGAAGGGTCGAAACAATAACGGTCCCAGTACGACACCTTGTGGCACCCCACTCTCATCAACACATTCCCGTCTAGGGAAAGCGGAACTACACAGGTCGCCTTCCTGTTTTCCGTTTCCGGTTTAATAACGTCTGGTGACCAATGAAATTCCACGGCGGTCAGGTGGTCGGTCACTTTCGCTGGAACCGGCTGTTATGAGATGTATTACGTTACGTGATCAGTAGGCTGGAAATATTGTGATCCTTGTCACATTACGTGGACGGAATACTTGGTCAAGTGTTGCGTTTGAGGGGAAATAATAGAGTTTATCAGTGGTTTGTAGGTAAGTACCCTTTGAATGTGGAACTAGACACTACATTCCTATGTCAAAGTTGTAGCCAGTTAAGGAAGTTTACAGTGTGGTGATAAACAGAATGTCCTGAAACTTTCTGGAAAATTTTATATAAAATAGTTCCTTAGGTCGAGAAAAACACTTAATATAATGCTTTTACAATATAAACATGGTTCTCCGGTGACTAGTTTTCCATCTCTTGGTCTTGGTTGGTGTAGCCTATTTTTATAATTTATTTTATAACCCAAGATTTAAGATATAAACTTTAAATTTGCTGTAAATGTGTAGGCCTACCTTGGCGGAATAAGTATGTCTATAACATGTCGTT